GATCCAAGACGCTAATAAGGCCCTAGGTCCGCTACAAGAGCAATGGTGTTTACATTGGATATCTCAAGGTCATCCTTCGTCAGTATGCAGAGAAAAGCAGTACTTCCTCTCGGTATTCAAATTCATAATTTCATGCCGTACGCCAACCTGGGAAGCATTTTCAGGTACATGTGTCTTCGAGTAACCTTCGAGTAGCCTCTGAAAATGACTGCCTGTGCAGTTTCGGAAGGAGATCTTTGAAACAGCTTGAATGCCCCTGTTGAATCTAACGTGACCTTATGATAACTCCCCCATCCATTTACTTACTCCGCCTATGTACTTTTGATCTCCAGTTTTGCTTATTCGTACCAGCCACCCACCTTGCCGCAGAGGCCGTCCATTACGACACTTGTGTATTGGCATGTGTGTCTGTGTGAATGTGCGCTGCTGACCTACTTACCCATGCGCATTCGTATCCCGTTTGCTAGTGTTGACCGGTTTTCTCATGGGTTCCGTGTGATCGCACGTCCAAAGAGAATCACGAGACCGTCGTCGAAAGGAACGACCGCAACCCACCCTACTGAGCCATCATTCCGCCCGCCGTTGTTTGGTGTGCGGACGTTGACACTACACTGTGCCGGTCAGTGACAGACCTGCGAAGTTGTTCACCCTACGAACGTGAACAATTGAGGTTTGTTGTAAACATTTGCTTACCATACCGTAGAATTACGGACCCAATTCTTCCTTTTGATATTCGGGATTGCCAAACATACGCGTCGAACCTACGCGTCACTCAAAGTTCCGTACCGGGAACCTCAACAAGACGTGTGTATCAAGCTACAGTATGGGCTGTTTTGTTGTATGGCTATGAAATTTAGCCTGTTGGAGCTGCGGAACTGAGACATCTTCAGGTGTTCAAAAATCGTTGTTGTGGAATTTGTGAAGCGAAAAACGAGTTCACCGGCTTATGGCAGCTTCCGTAGCACACGGGATAATAGTTTGCTCAATCTGGTCCGCGCACTCTACTCAACCTTGGTTGTCCTTCTGTCAGTAGAACATCCCGTATGGATTTGACGTGATGCCTGCCGGTTTTTTCAATGAGGTGGTCTCATCACCAGTTGAGTTGACATCACCAGTGTTTTGTGAGTGGAAATTACTTGTTGCTGATTATTGCTCGTGCACTGATTGATGTAAGGTCTACTCACCCTGATCAGTTTTACTGACAATGATCGTTTGGGTGCACATTCCTGTTGGCCTGTTGATTGTTGAGTCCCGGTATCCTTGACATCGCTCCGCTCCCCCTTGTACCTTTGAACCCACAGAGAGTCCCGTTCACGAATGAGAAAACACGTTGAGCAACAGGCCGAAGGCGATGCTCAGCCAATCGATAGATGATCAGTAAATTTGACCAGGCTTAGCAGACTTAAAATCGATCCGACCCGGCTGATGGCACCACGCGACGGCCGATGTGGCATGAGAATATTGTTAGTTGTGTAGGTCATGGTTGTACGAGGGCTGGGATACTGTCAGGGCGCCCACACCTAGACAGAAGGACGATTAGTGTCCTCAACCAAAGCCTTTGGCTCAAAAGCTTAACCGCAAGGCAGCGGTGTTTGGCGGGAAATGCAAATGCATTACCATTTCTACGGAACAAGTCGCCACATGTTCCAACCCCCAACCTGGAGGGCCAGGAGACTGTGTTCGTCAGACCTCTAACCATTGACCAACCTGGTATGAGAGACTCTCTGAGTGTCGCGGGACACTCTCCAGTATAGCTCAATGGATCGCTGAGGTGCGCAAACCGTCACACCACGGTAAGGTCCAGTCTCTTCTGTGTGTGTGTGTGTGTGTGAATGGTGCTGCTGAGCTACTCACCCATGTATGTGCTTGCCCCGTCTGCTGAGCCTGCCCTCTGCACGCGCAACAACCGCACACTTCCACTCGCAACACACGCATGATGTGACCTCGACTGATGATGAGACGTATTCAACCACCCTAGCGAATAAATCAATGGCCATCATTACAATTTGAGCTACCACCATTGTCTCCAGTTTGATATGCTTTCCAAGTCGGTATTTATCCGACAGGACTGAAGAATGAGCTACGACTAAGGCGAAAAGTCTAGAACCCAAAGTGTAGAACCCAATTCTATCTTGTGTTATTCGGGATCGTCAAACCTCTGTGTCACCTAAAGTTCCACATCAAGAACCTCAACAATTGGCATACACCCATTTTCACTTTCCTCCTGGATAGCTACGAAGGTATGGGAGCAATTCAACAATCAAGTTTCGTCTCGATCGAAACACAGGATACTCACCAGGTAAGTGAGGTAGGAAATTTTCGGTAAATTTTGGGAGGCTGCAAATTTGAAAGTGACTGTAGTGAGCAGGAGCAAGAGGGACAATTGAAGACGATTTCCATCCACGGGGACGGAGAATACGGAGAAGGAGAGAAGGCTCAGGACACAACTGATCAAAGCCATATTGACCATAAAGTAGCCAGCTCTACGGGCTGATCGACTGGTGAACACGAGGCCTGGATGGCGTCGCTTGCAGGTGCCAGGACTGTAAGCAGTTTGGATTTCCATGGACGCAATCTAGAAGTTACGTGGAAAAGGTGAGAATAATGTTGGTAAGTCTACTACTAGATTTTAAACATTCTGATGTTGAAAAAAACAGCTGAAAGCAGAAGGCCTTTCCCGAACAAAAGCACATTCCATTGGAGAGTTAACGAGAGGGCTTCTCTTCACTTGCGACGTCCCCGTGCGTTGGGATTTTGTATGGAATTGTTCCATACAGACACAGTTGAACAGTCAACCATTCTTAATCAGTAAAGTTTTAGGACAGGCTGTAACGAACCGTATGAACGTCGATTTTTGGTCGTTCTAACGATGGATTTTTGTTTCCTGTTTATAAATATCATGATCTCTTCCCTGCTTTAACTCAGTACACAAAAGCGTGGAGCATTTTTGAAAATTCCTGGAAGGTTAAACGAAAAATTGAAACGGACGAGTTGGTACGGCGGCGGAAACCTCTACAGAAGCTTCCTTTAAGACCATCTCTTTTCGTTTTCTTCAGGTCTGTTACCAAATTTCAAACGAAATCAGAATTGGTTTCGTTGTTCACATTAAATTATCGATTAAACCATTGGATGAGTTTTGTAAAAAGCCCTTCTGAAAAAAAGTATCCAAATTATGGGCTGATAGCTAGATTGAATTTTTCGGCTGTACAGCCCCATTGATCGTTGAATTTCAAGCCCTGGTAACCTATTGATCCATGACAGTTTGACAGACCAATCGGCTACACGTACTTTCATCTCCTTTATGAAGTAAAACTGGATGTCACGGTGAACTCTCGTCCAGTCATTAGTGTCAAGGTGCCTAACAGTGTGACGTTTTTGCCGAATTGCTGAAATAGTAATGTTCACTGTGATAAACTATCCTCTACCTTGTTGGAAAACCCAAGTATTCTCGATGATCTGGACAAGACCACTTTAAATATTTCAACTGCTGCATACTTGAATAATGGATCGGATGTTTGTAGACTCAGTCTTCCAGTCATACATCTTCCAGGCATAAATGTATTATTCAGACACTGAATGGAGCTTTATTGTATCCGGCTGTCGGTGTGCTCGCATCTTCTGATACGAACAAACTACTTCAGTTTGTATTCCTTCGTCTCCCCCGTGTGACGTGTGTCGGTCGTTTCGTGATAAACAATCCGTGTGGTTTTTCGCTGTTTATCGTTACGGCTATGAAGAATGATTATCAAAGGTTGATCTATGTCCTGTTGTCAGTGTACGTACACAGATTCTGGTGAGGCTGAATTATTGATGCATATTTTTGATTGCTTGGCGTTGCAAAAGATGACAAGCATTATCCTTTGTCCTTTTCTTGAAAAAAAAGAACGGCAAATACATCTTTTTGGATGACGGACAGGATGTTGATCAGGTGGCTGTTGATCTGTTCCCCGACCTTGGCATGGGTTTGCAGTTTCGTCACCATACGAGGAGACATCATCAGTGCGCAGTTGAATGGTTACTTCTTCCTTGCCTGCATTCGAAGGCTATCTGTTATCTTTTGACGTGATTGGCTACTTGAAGTGTGAATCTATTGGTCCGTTTGTGATCTTTGTGGACTTGGATCTTGTGATCTTTGGATGGACCGTGCACCCACTCATCACAGCATTATACTTGGAAGGACACGAAAAAAGGCCGACAAGCTGCGGCTTTTAACCGATCGATTTCTCTTCACCAAATTCTACACTGGTGTGGCATCTAATCACAGGACTGGAGCTCGAGGTATAGAATAGATCCATCAGGCGCTCACGGATGACGAGTTTCCGCTAAAGTGAAACGGCTGCACTGTGAGTATGTACTTTTGAGTGCACTTTCAAGTAGACTTCAATCGCCAGCGAAATGATGCTGTGCGAACCCAAGAACAGCGAAAATGGAGCTACTCGGATGACATGCATAGAGATAGTGGAACTCAAAAGTCTGCAGCGTGGTCGTTTTACTGGCAAGGGAAGTTTCGAAACGTGGCATACCTCAAAGATAAAAAAACGTACATTTTCAATGGAATCAATCTCCTCAAGACAACACGCGCCCACATGTTTGACTGGTGCTGGTCTTGTAGATACCATAACACGGGGATGTGGTAGTACTCTGAAACCTAACTGAGGTTTGACGCCAGTATTTCAATGATAAACGATTGATTAATTGCGGTGATCGTTTTGTGCCACTCTCTGATAAGTTTGAAAGTGCATGTTTACCTACTCCCCCGCCAACTTCAGGAGTTTGTACGCAGCGCCATTTCCAGTCAGGCGTGAATGACTTGTGGTCATTAAATTGCGCACAGATGTCTGGCAGGACAAAGCCCGCTGCTAGCTGGATGCCATTACGACGTACGGGTGGGTTTACAATACTACGTGTCCTGACTAAACGGAAGACCAATTCACGGGAGCTATCATTGAAGAACAAACAGACCAATAAGCCAATACTAGGCTTCTTAAAGCTATCTCATAAACTACTCACCAACGCGCCCAGCACCCCTGGATTTTGGTCCAGACTGGAATATACTATCCTGAAGGTCTGTTAACCTGTTGACTGCTTCTCCCCGGATTGACTTAGGCCACCTGACATTGTCTCAACTCGGGGCTCGTTTCGGCTTGCACGAAAACGAACAGGTAGTGGATTACCCATCATTATCATCGAAATTAAGTAGTCTGTAAGGTCATGTGAGCCACCACACGATTAATCCACGTGCAGTCAGGCCTTCTTTAGTGTTTTGGCATTGAGCATTCCCATCTGGTACTTTGTACCCCTCCGTTATCTTTTTTCAGGTGGGTTATTGGAGCGGACACGAAACGTAAACGACAGTACTTTCTAGTACAACCAGCCTAACTACCTAGCTTTTGAGAGATGATCGCAACCTTGAGGGGCCCAAACCCTGCCAACTGTGAAGGTTGTTCACAGATAGTCTTATTCGAGGGTACGTCCATATGAGCTGACCCATTAGGCATGAGTTGTACTCTACACGAAGAATCACGTCCATTTAAACCAATGATCGTTAGTTTATCTCTCCTCAGTCAGATTGTTTGCAGTTTGTGAGATTCTACTTCACAAGAAAACATCAATGTTGTCATTTCACCGAGAATATGGGTGTGTGTTCCTTCTCTTATGGTTCTCAGCAGACTATTCTGAGCACACATTACGACAATTCGCTAAGAAAATATGTGAGTACCTCTCTCGCTGGAACATCGCTCAATTCAGCAGCCATAAGCTCGAACGCATCACATATAACTGACATTGATCACGAGATCAGTTCTACCGAGTAATTAATAGACTGCCCATATCGATCCAAATGCGCTGCCTGACTACAGTCGAAGCAGCCGCAACATGATCGGCACTGTGTTGCTGAAATTCAGCTCCAAGCCTACCTGGATCATGTGACACGATTCGATCGATACAGTCACCCGACATCCAGTTGGATGCAACTTGGGCTTCGCCGTAAATCACTAGACTGTTTTTGAGTTTTCTTATTCATCAATCAATCAGCCGTTCAATTCATTACTTGTCCCTATTTTGAACATTCGATATCAGCTTGCCTGACGATGAGATCCCGAAAACATTGTTGTTGGTTTTCATAGAGAAAACTACTCACAATGTTGCTGAAAACTCTTTGACAGCCCACGACCGGTTTCGCCCTTCTTGGGGATCATCAGGTAGGCACAGTCCCCAAATTGATTCGCAAATGAGTGTATTTCTCGAGAACAGTGCAATTTGGGTTCAAGTAGATCATAAGGTTGACAGAAACTTGGGGACTGCACCTACCTGATGAGCCCCAAGAAGGGTGGAACCGGTCGTGGGCTGTCAAAGAGTTTTCAGGAACCTTGTGAGTAATTTCCTTCATGAAAATATACTGCGATATCTTGAATATCGTGCCAACTGAATTATGAGGTGGCCCGTGTACAGCATATTCAGTTGTAGNGAGAGACTCACCTGGAACCCAGTCGAATCTCTCTGTTTTGATGTTTCTATGAAGCTTTTGTTCGAAACAAATTTTAGAGGCCTCATAAAAAAACAAAACGATTAGACTGGTCTATAAAAACAGTTATGAAGCGAATGTTGGTCACTCAGGTAGCATAGATGGTCGTTGGTTTATTTGCTGAGCTGGGCAGTTTGATTGCAAACGTTTCATTACCCATCGAGGCGACATCATTCGTAAGTTGTTGTATTCAGAATCGCGACTGATTTAATTCAACTGGACTAGACAACACAAGTTGAGCTATACGGGCCTCTTCTTTGCAGACACTCTGTGTGATTCGGCCTTTTTGTCTAAGGGGATACGACAAAATTAGTAACCTTAGACCTAAGGGTTTTCCCCCAACCGGTTCTTTCTCCGAGACACTCAGTGTACCAGTGTGTCTCTGTCGTTGCACAATGAGACGAACGCGAAAAAATGGTTCTGCTTGGGTGGCGCTGTATTGTAAGCTCAGTATTCGGTGGAAGGGCTCTGAGTGCGTTTCGAATCACGGGGGGGCCGTTTACCGGCTGGCTAGACATGAAAGTTCATACCATTTTCTGCCAAAACCAGCGAATTTTTTCGGAATACTCTTACTCCATCATCATCATCATCATCATCATCATCATCATCATCATCATCATCATCATCATCATCATCATCATCATCATCACCATCCAAATCATCATCATCATCACCATCATCATCAACATCATCGTCATCATCATCATCATCATCGTCATCCATGTGGGGTAATCTACAAAATTAAACGAGTAACCTGGAAAGAATATCTCGAATCGGATAGTTTGTTTGGCCACTTAATGCGGTTTCTCGTTCCATTCAATTGGGTCAAAAGCCAAACATGGAAATTTCGACAGATTCACAGACCGAGAGGTCATCCAGCTTTTCCAGCACAATTAAAGACGTTCGTGAGGCGTCTGGTCATTTTATTGATTCGAGCCTTAGACCGAGTTTTACTCTTGTATATTTCAAACGACAAAAATACTTACATCTACATGATGAAAAATTTTCCATTCTTGACTGTCGGCGGCACACCTCCGATCGACTTGGCTGACTTCAGTCGGTGACGGGACCAGTTCGACTTCTTCCACAGTGCGATCGCAGGTAACTGTGACGGAGAGGTCCTGAAATGGCGGGTGAAATTGATGAGGAATCGGATGTCGAAATGTTACTGTCAGAAAATTTCATTCCCCATACCTTATCCTCGCCCACTAGTGCCAGCTCTGGATCACATGACATGGACAGCGTGATAGTAGAATGAGGGTCACTACGTGCTCCCATATTCCATACTGAATGTTATATACTCAGCCCGCAAAAAGGACCGTTGAGTAAAACTCACAAGGTTGCTGAAAACTCACCGACAGCCACCGACCGGTTTCGCCCTTCTTGGGGCTCATACGGTAGGCGCACTCCCCGAGTTTCCGTCAGCCTTATGTTCTACTTGAACCTTGAAACTTTTTCTCATATTGGAGAGGAGACTCAGAATTAAAACATCGTGGGGAGATAGTAAAACGTATCCAGAATTTTGACGGGGGAATTCTGAACTTTGTTCTTGCAGCTGTTTGGCTTTCTAACGACTACCAGCACTATCAAAGAACCAAACTAGTTGAAACTGGTTACCAGTGCGCTGAGCTTGCATCGTGTTCAAGCACGTTCAGCCCAAATTTGGTCACATGGCCCCAATCACGTGACACTGGTTGTTTAGTGGCTTGTTGAAAGCGCGAAAGTCGATTTATCATAACCAGTATGCATGTAGATGTAAGACTATTCTAAATACATGATGATAAAAAAACAGCATTTCTAATAAAGGCAGCACTCCAGATGACAGACATGTTCTTCCAATCTCATCAGCTTGTTTCTGGTGGCGACGTCAGCTGACAGTATCCGAGTTAGGTCAATCATGACCCCCACAAATAAAAGATTGTAGTTGAACGACCTGACAATCTGGCGGATTGTAACAGGGGCTGTAACAGCTGACTAAAACATCACAAACGAAAGATTCAGCTGAGCTGAGCCTCTCAAAATGCCAAATTAGTTTGCAAATGAGTGTATATTCGCTAATTTCGTGCAATTTGGTTTCAAGTAGAACATAAGGTTGACGGAAACTCGGGGACTGTGCCTACCTGATGAGCCCCAAATAGGGCGAAACCGGTCGTGGGTTGTCGGCGGATTTTCAGCAACCTTATGAGTAGTATATTACACAGATAAAACATATACAGTTGTTTCAGAGGGACGAAACCATTGGGAAGGGTTGGCATGTGGGAATGAGACGTTTGAGGTAGTTGAATGGGAAAGTGTTTATTGACTGTCCACAAAATTGGCAGTCAGGACAACTGTGTATGCAACTGGCTAATTTCGGTGTGTCTTAACCTGGGAAGCTACGTTACGTGCAATCACGAATTCGCGGAAACAAACAAGCCAGCTTTGTGTTCATAAGGAGTGGACCTCCTGCCTACTTGTGCCCAAGTAGGTGGGAGATTTCTCTGCGACGGGATAATCAAGAAGTGAAGGTTAACCTAAGCGCTAGTGAAAGGTAGGAGGCCTTCGCTGTGGAGTTATTTATTAGATCTAACTTTTCAAGAGACGAAAATCGGCTTTATGAGAAAACACACTACTCGCGTACCCGCAGTCAGTAGTATCACAGTTACACGGGTAGTGTGGGGAGATTTGCGGGTTTTTAGCAGACGTTTCATCCTGTGAGTGAAGTCAATCGATACTAGAATCGGTGCTGCTGTAAGTAAAGTCCGTCATTTGCAAGTGCGAGTTAATCACTGTGCTGATTAGACGCTCGTGACGGAATGGTTCAGTCACTAGCAGGGATGCCGGGGATTCGAAACTTCTCAAGGATCCATCAGATGCGCACTGCTGGTGATTTCCGGTAAGGATCCCAAGTGACTTCATTTACAGGAAGGAAGCTCAATTGAACACCTTAGACAGGCTTGTTTCTGTTGAAGACCCCATTTGAATCTGACAAGCAGTCGATCCGGTTTTTTTTCAAGAATTTCCAGTGCTAACCGACCAAACTGACAAGTGAGAAACGTTCATATCGAGAGATAACGGATGTGCACGAATGGTGGATCAAATCGATTTACATCTCCCAAAAGTAATACAGTGCCTGGAATGTTTGGCTAAACTATCTCGACAAAAACACTGGGTCAGAACCAGGTTGGTGTTTGATCTGAAAGTCAGTTTACAGGAGTTTAATCCAACTGTCATAGCTTTTTTTATGTAACTTCTAAACTTTTCTCAAGCAAGATGTTTTATCAAAGACAAGAACCGCATCAGTAGCGTGAACTGACAGTGAGCTTAAAACTAGCTTGAAGAAAATACGAGTCAGCTCCATCCATGGCTCAGTGGTTAGAGCGCGAATTTATTGACCGGAAGGTCCTTGGTTCGAACCCGACCTCTGTCTATCGACTTCCTTTGTCTAGGCTTGGGCAACCTGGCAGTATCCCAGCCCTCGTGCTTCCTTCGGGTAGCATGGCAGTTAGGCACCGAAAGGGTGCTACAGCTGAACGACACCCTGTGGATGATTCAGACCTTTGAATAACCAAACTATTTGCTCACTCACAACCCACATATCAGTATATCTATTTACATCCTCACCCCGTAACATGACTTGCCGGTGAGTCTTCGCTTCCACCGACCCATTCTACGTATCAGGAAGGCCAGATTCCTGAAAGCAACCACTGAATGCCTGAAATCTACTGAGACTCTCAGCTCTGCTAGATGTTGACCAGACAAACAACGCCCCCGCAATATGCAGCGCGTCACAGCCTTGTATCAACCCCAGACAGCGCGAGTCAGCGTTGATCAAGGTCAGACAACGCCCCCGCAATATGCAGCACGTCACACCCTCGTACCAAAGCCAGACCGCGTGCATCAGCATTGGACCAATTTCGGACAGTGTCTCTACAATAAATGGCTTGAGACCGTCGTACTTTCGCTCCCACTCACACTCTTGCACTCGCATGTTCGGAATATAATTGTTGTGTTCCCTTCTGTGAGTATTTTTTCGGCACTAGGCACTGGAGCGGGTCAGCAGTCAGGTACAACAGATTGTCGAATCAGCGGATATAACACTATCCCTCAGATCCTCTAATACTCCGCATCTACTCCAGAATGTAGTTTACAGAGTCCGTATAATATCAACAGTCTGCTTCATAACTAACTCGAGATGGTAGATAAACACTTCAATGTTTCAGTTTCTATCGGTGAACACTCGATCTAGAGGATCATAAATCAAGTTTTCAGTTAACCAAGCTAAATAATCCCCTCAAGAAGAGATGAGTAGTCTCCTGTTGATGGTCCCTTAGAAGATCACCGCACCATGTTGTGCCACGATGCACCTTTCCTGTCACAAGATAGGTGGTTAAAACCTTGGTCTATCTTAAATCTGTAAGCATATTCACTCACTGGTTACAGGCTGATCGCCATTTCCAGTGGATCGCTCAGAAGTAGACTACTGGCGATGGCGTCAAACAGCAGAAATCATTTCCAATCAATACGGTCCCCGCGAAACCGTCACAACGCTTTTTACCCATTTTCTTGTTACACTCATAAAGTTGAAATTTATCGGTAATACAAATGTTTGGTCATGGGCGAAGCTATAAAAGCTCTGTACTTTCAGTGGCTACATCAAGTGATGGAAAACTAATGATTAAAAAACCTTTACAAGGTCAGACGTGTTCAGTTAGAATGACCGTTGATTAACTGACAGCTTGGTAATCATATTCTGCATCGGATGTTACCATTCTTGTGCAATTCAGATCATTTTCTGTCACATTCGTATTTTACTGAATTTTTGGTGTTTTTCGCCTAAGACTGAATGAAATCAGACGAATGACTGAAATCCAAAACGTTTTTTGAGGCGATTTCATAGAGTTTCTTGAACAGTCAGTACTTGTATAATGCGAAGCGCACATATATTGGGGCACGGTAACGCTATTTCAACGCATTCGTGATTATCAAAGATGACCTTGAAATTTGGCGGTTGTGATATGCACTATATCGCCGTCATCATTCTTGCAGAAATAAAATGGATTTGTATACTTTTCAGCGCATATTATCATTTATTTTTGAAGAGCATGGTCACAGACATAAAAAGTGAATCAAGCGATGAATGCGAAAGAGTAACAGGAGAATATGGGAGAAAAGAGAG